CCTGTAGTCCAGCTACTCGGGGAGGCTGAGGCAGGAGGATTGCTTGAGCCCAGGAGTTTGAGGTTGCTTGTGAGCTAGGCTGATGCCCATGGCTTCACTCTAGCCTGGGCAACAGTGAGGACTGTCTCAAAAAAAAAAAAAAAGGACAATGGAAAGCATACGAAATAAAATCATCAGCTAAGAAGCTAGGTGGCGTCAAAGGTCTGGGCAAAAGGCGTTAGGGCCGCACCGTTACACTCAGAAGTAAAGAGAGGTAACTAGCCGAAACATCGTTAAATGTGTTAATTCAATACTTGGTGACCAGAAATCCACACGGCAGGCTAATTCGTCTGAACCCAGACTGAAGGGTTAGGGCTTGCATTTACAGTCCAAGTTTCTGAAACTCGCGTGGGTTTCATGAATCAACTGACTTTTTTAACACAGATTTCCAGACGGCTCCCCTGTAGATCCCATTCCGTGCGTCTGGGAAGAGGCCTGGCAATCAGCATGTCACGGGTTCGGTGCCGCCCAGTGCTACTCGGCAAAGAGAAACCCTTCCCCGCCTGGCAAAGGACCTGACGCTGGCGGGCATCGGGAACTACGCGGTCAGCCCGGGACACCGGCTCTGGGAAGCGCCCCACGGGGTGGTAGGTAGAACCAATCAAACAAGCCTGTGGTCACTCCTCTTCCCCGAACTGGCCCCCTCAGCTCTTGCGGGGAGACAACTCCTGAGGGTTCCCTAACAGCCTAAGACTAAGAGTAAACTATTACCACACTACAGGATTCGCTCTTGGGCACTAAACGCCGCGGGAACCCACGTGGCACCGCCCCCACCGCCTTCCTCGGTGCTTCTTCCCTTTCCCTGGGTGAACGAGGAAGAGAAGACACGCGAGATGCAGGCATGGGGGCATGGCCCCACTCTGACAATGGAAAGTGAGGGCGTGGCTCAGGGCCTTTCTTTCATTGGCCCAGGGTCCCGAAGCCGCCCTGCTTGGGCGCGCAGGCGCGGAAGTCGCTCGGGCGCCTGAAAGCGCGCCAGGTTTAAGTCCGCCTACTCGGCTGCCGGCATCATGGTGCGGGAAGCTTAAGTTCCACGAGCAGAAACTGTTGAAGCAGGGTGACTCCTAAACTGGGAGGTCACCGCCACAACCTGCAGCGAGCTGCGAGTCCTGCGGCGCTATCGCTGCAGGCGGCGCGAGGACTACACGCGCTTACAACCAGCTGAGCCGTGAGGTGCGCGAGCTGGCGCGGCGCCTGCGCGACCTGCCTGAGCGCGATCGCGTTCCGCGTGCGCGCCTCGGCCCCGCTGCTGGACAAGCTGTATGCTCTCGGGCCTGTGCCCACGCGCGGCCGCTGTGAGCTCTGGCAACTTCGTCACGGCCTCGTCCTTCTGCCGCCGGCCGCCTGCCTGCTACTGTGCTCTCAAGCTGCGCATGGCGCAGCACCTCCAGGCTGCCGTGCCTTCGTGGAAGGCAAGCACGTGCGCTGCCTGACGTGGTGACTGACCCCGCCTTCCTTGTCACGCGCAGCATGAGAGACTTGTCATGGGTCGACTCTCCAAGATCAAGCGGCCATGGCTGGGAAGTACAATGAGGAGCTGCGGATGATTTCGATTGGAGTCTAGCGGTCCTCCGTCTCTCCATGCTGCTGCTTACAGATGGGAACACTGAGGCTGATGTCGAGATTCTGGGAGGGTGTAGGTTTCTTTACTAACTTGGGTTCCTTCAACTGCAGGCTTTGCACAGAGCCAAGAGACGGTGCGTCCCTATTTCCACAAAATGCTCTTGGAACTTGACTACTGACTTTAATTAAATGGACCGGGTACCTTGGGAAACACGGGGGGAAGTGTTTTTGTGGCTCCCCTCTCCTGGCTCAACGCCAGTCCTTCTGCCCAGCCTCCCAAGTACGCCTGTGACTCTCACAGGCATGCGCCACCAATGCCGGCTATTCTAACATACTATACTACTACTAGTTATATCAGTTGGCAATTAAATTTTCCATTTTCTATTTATCAGTAGAGAGTGCGGTCTGCGTCTTGTTCAGGGCTGGTTTCGAACTCCTACCTCGAGCAATCCGCCCGCCTCCGGTCCTCCCAGACGAGCTAGGATTACCCGCGTGAGCCACTGCGCTCGGCTCTTTCTTTTTTGAGACAGAGTCTCACTTGTTGCAGGAGGCTAGAGTGAATGCCCTGACGTCAGCCTTGCTCACCAGCAACCTCAACTCCTGGGCTCAAGTATTCTACCTGCCTCAGCCTCCGAGTAGCTGGACTACAGGCATGGGAACACCATTGCTGGCTTGATTTTTCTATCGTGCACCCCAGCCACCCTGCCACCCATGATGACACAATTCAACTCGACCACACTAGCCACTTCCACACGTGTCACATCCATTCACAGCATCTATATCAGTCTCTTTGTGTCTTACGCGCCACGCTCAAATTTTGCCCACAGTCTCCTTTATGTAACATATAGTAGAGACGGAGCCATACATTCAGCTATATACGCACAAAGTCACAGGTCTTAGCTCTTGTTCTACCGTAGCAAAAGGCATGTGTCACAAGCTTTGCTCTGTGCCGTTGTATCCCGACACCATTGCTACCATCTCTCCCACTCCCCTCTAGAAGCCAGCTCATTGAGCCATACACCAGAGGGAGCCTCCACCTCTAGTCGGGCTAGTAAGCAACCGCGCCTGGGAGAGTGTCCCGCCTAGTTACCCCAAGGGAGAGGTGCATGGCAGTGAGCCACCATCACAAGCCTACCACATGCAGGCAGCACGCCCCTGAGGAGTCTGAGTGTCAGTCGGGATGATAGAAACGTTTCCAAGTTCAACTCCATGGCACAGATCGTTGAACCTCCTCCATTGTCTTTTAAAATCATATTTGATACTAGAACCAGCTATAGTATGAGCGCCCTGTATGGTGAGCAGTGGATGAGCACCTGAGCCACACCACAGCTCCACCAGAAGGAGAAGGTCTGACTGGTACATCGCGGCCAGAGCGAGCTCTGGCAGGTTCTGTATGCCGCCACTGCTCCACTCCGGAGCAACTCCCCAGGGCCAGGGGGCTCTAGCCCCTGACTAACAGAGGTCCCCCCTGGTGAACGGCTATTCACCAGCAAAGCTCCAAGCATAACACCGGCGTGGCCCTGCTGCGTAAAGCGGCAGGCCGGGCGAGCTGCGCAGCGTCGCTCAGCCGGCACGGCCCGCCTGGCGGGCGGGTGGCTACGCGGACATTCCTGCCCCGCCATATGCTCTCCTCCCTGCGCTCCAGACCGCATCTTGTCGGAGGCTGGCCCGCCGACTGGCCCGCCGTGGAACTCAGGACCTCCTGGGAGCAAGCCTGCCCAGCCGCGCTCCTCCTGCACCACCTCCACATGCACTCCCCCCCGTCGTGGCGCGTTCCCAGGCACGAAACCGGCAGGAGCCGAGACAGTGGGAGGCCACAGCAAGGTAAGGAAACCACGCGCGGCACAGAAATTCTAACACTATCTGCACTTCTCCCGAAAGCACAGAACAGATTACTCTCGTCGCAGCAAAGCTCAGATCTTGTAGAACAAAACCCAGCTATCTGGCTATAGGAAATACTAAACTCATCCTGAGTGGCTAAACTCTAGACCCTTTTCTTTTGCGTTTGCTTGTGTTAGTTCAAACCCCGATGGCTGGCAAGTGCCAGTCTTGTGGTCTCTGATAGCAGATCGCCAAGCTTCACACAGCTACCTCCGGGCCCTGCGTCTGCTGCAGCAGCCTCAAGCAGCGCTTGAAGGGCAGGTAGTGAACTCCTATGCTGTCTCACAACAGAGCCCCTCTGCGTTTCCCGAACGGGCGGTAGCATTGTGGACCTGGCCCTCAGAGGGTCACACAGTGAGGCTCGGCAGGGCTGATCTGAATCCAGCTCTTCTGCTTCACTCCTTAAAAGTCTTGACTCATGTGTCTCCAAGAAGGCGTGAGAGCGCGCGCAAACTCCAACTCCAGCTCGGTTGCAGAACATTTTCAGGCGCTGCTGGCCCCCAAGTGCTGATCGTGCGAGGCGTTGCGGGGTGGGTGAGCCGCGCACAGCTCCAGCCGAGGCAAGAGACGCAGACTTGTGATACTCCCAAACATTAGCAAAGGAACAAGGACGGATCGGAAATCGCACGGTCCAATACGTATAACAGAATAGGAATTTGAGACAATGAACTCATTCTCACGTCTTCCTGTATCATGACCCATGAGCTCTCATTTGTCCTTTTCCCGGTGACAGAAAATAATCTCAAATTACTTGGGGACCCTCCTTTCTCCAGGAATGCATACACGTTTGAGGATGACCACATTTGAGGTGCGTCAAAAAAACCCCTGGTCAGCGTCGCAGCACTTTGAATTTAGGCAGAACCCGAGAGCCCTCTTAAGCCCGCACCGTGTAACGCACCGAATTGTGACATCCTGCACTCAATTAGAAGTTTATTATGACTTGACATGATGATGCTTATCTATAGATATTAATTAAACTACTATAGAAGATATTGTTTCTTTTCCTTTTTTGCTTTCTTTTGGTGCTTTGCTCCTCTGCGCTCGGCATCCCCGCTGCATAAACTGTCGTGTCTCATCGGCTGTTCCTGTAGGTATCTAGACCCTAGGACATTCGGGCCTGGCTGCCCAGCCTCGTGGCTGTGTGTCCATGTGCTGCGGCCCACCATACTGGGGTCATCTGTTCTCATCTGCTCCTGACCGTACCAACTCGCCCTGCGACCCGGTCTATGCCATGTGCTAGTCCTGAGGCTTCTCGTCTGTGGAACCCAGTCTGGCATTACTTGCCTCTGCTCAGAGCATCTCAGAGGGCTCTCTGCCTTCCGAGGCGGGCTTGCGCAATAATTTACGGTCCATGTTCCAAGTTTCTGAAATCGCTGGGTTTCTGTAGAGTGCCTCAGTAGCACCCCTAGTCCAGACTGGGACATGGTATCACCCCACAGCTTTTCCACCTTCATCAGTGAAGACTCTGAGAACCGCCGCCACCTAGGCACTTGTACCTCCGATGCAGACCGCTTCTCCTGCCATCTTGGGTGTGTCTGGCGCCTCCCTGGGTCCTACCTCGGGGATCCCAATTCTGCTGCGTCTGGGAAGAGGCCTGGCAATCAGCATGTCACGGTTCGGGTGCCCGCACAGGGTAGCGTGTAAGTCCATATCTGCTTTGTCCCCGGCAAGACACCCTCCTCGCCGCCCGGGCTTCTGCCCTCTGTCACAGTGGCAGGCAAACCGACCCTGACGCTGGCGGGCATCGGGAAGACTACCGCATGACTGGACACGGTCAGCCCGGACACGGCTGTGGAACGCTCCACGGGGGGGTCAGTTTTTACCGACCACCCTGTGTGCAAGAGATCATCAACATCATTTTACAGACAGGAAACGCCAAGTGACGAGGTGCTGATGTCCAGGCCTGGCACCTGTGCGAGAGGCAGTGGCGATGCTGGGCTACGAACCGCAGGCCGCTGACACTGGCACCTGGGAGCCTCTTCTGAGCCGAGCCAACTCCTTGCTGTCATTTGGCGAAGGATGGTTGCCCTTGGGATTAAGAAGGGAGTATAATATGAGGCCCCTCGTACAACCTGCTGCCCACAGGGTTGGCAGCAGGCCGAACACCACTCCTTTACCTCCACCACCCAGAGCGCACCGAATGGACCAAACTAGAGTCCTGGTGTCGCGACTGAGGCAACAGTGCAAACTTCCTTGCCCCGATGTCCGAACTCCTCCTCAGTCTTGCGCGGAGACACTCTCTGTCCTGCCTTGCAGGAAACTTCGTGCTTTTAGCTGCCCTGTTCACTTCTCTGTTGAGTAGCCATCTGAAACAGTTCAGCCTAAGAATGGCTGTTCAGAGGGTTACAGGACTGCAGAAAACACAGTAGATACTCAGTCTCGTACTTCCACACCGCTCGTACAGCAGGCAAAGCGGTTAGCTGGGTTATCAGCCTCTATGCAGACAGCCGCGAATGATCGCAGCTCCCTGAGAGTCTTGTGGGCACCCAAGGATATTGGCACCCCACTCCATAGATTCAGAAACTGATGGAGCTGGCCACACTGGGCAGATGCCTAGCAGCATACGCAGGCTGGATGAGTCCGGTGACCTCCTCCAAGAACCGACCGTCGCAGCTGGGCACTTGCCGCCCCCACCGCCTTGTCTGCCTCGCGTAGCTTGCTTCCTACATTGTTCCTGTGCTCCATGGGAGGAACTCGTCTCTCTTGGAGGCTTCCCAGACGGGAACGAGACAGTTCATGGTCACACATTGGTCAGTCCGAAGATGCCGCAAGGGGGCATATGGCGCGGCAGTGGCTCGCTCCCCATGCCTGTAGTCCCAGCTACTCGGGAGGCTGAGGCAGGAGGATTGCTTGAGCCCAGGAGTTTGAGGTTGCTGTGAGCTAGGCTGATGCCATGGCTCTCACTCTAGCCTGGGCAACAGTGAGACTGTCTCAAAAAAAAAAAAAAGGACAATGGAAAGCATACGAAATAAAATCATCAGCTAAGAAGCTAGGTGGCGTCAAAGGTCTGGGCAAAAGGCGTTAGGGCCGCACCGTTACACTCAGAAGTAAAGAGAGGTAACTAGCCGAAACATCGTTAAATGTGTTAATTCAATACTTGGTGACCAGAAATCCACACGGCAGGCTAATTCGTCTGAACCCAGACTGAAGGGTTAGGGCTTGCATTTACAGTCCAAGTTTCTGAAACTCGCTGGGTTTCATGAATCAACTGACTTTTTTAACACAGATTTCCAGACGGCTCCCCTGTAGATCCCGATTCCGTGCGTCTGGGAAGAGGCCTGGCAATCAGCATGTCACGGGTTCGGTGCCGCCCAGTGCTACTCGGCAAAGAGAAACCCTTCCCCGCCTGGCAAAGGACCTGACGCTGGCGGGCATCGGGAACTACGCGGTCAGCCCGGGACACCGGCTCTGGGAAGCGCCCCACGGGGTGGTAGGTAGGAACCCAATCAAACAAGCCTGTGGTCACTCCTCTTCCCCGAACCTGGCCTCCTCAGCTCTTGCGGGGAGACACTCCTGAGGGTTCCCTAACAGCCTAAGACTAAGAGTAAACTATTACCACACTACAGGATTCGCTCTTGGCCACTAAACGCCGCGGGAACCCACCGCTGGCACCGCCCCCCACCGCCTTCCTCGCGTGCTTCTTCCCTTTCCCTGGGTGAACGGGAAGAGAAGACACGCGAGATGCAGGCATGGGGCATGGCCCCACTCTGACCAATGGAAAGTGAGGGCGTGGCTCAGAGCCTTTCTTTCATTGGCCCAGGGTCCCAAGCCGCCCTGCTTGGGCGCGCAGGCGCGGAAGTCGCTCGGGCGCCTGAAAGCGCTGCCAGGTTTAAGTCCGCCTACTCGGCTGCCGCCATCATGGTGCGGAAGCTTAAGTTCCACGAGCAGAAACTGTTGAAGCAGGTGGACTTCCTAAACTGGGAGGTCACCGACCACAACCTGCACGAGCTGCGAGTCCTGCGGCGCTATCGGCTGCAGCGGCGCGAGGACTACACGCGCTACAACCAGCTGAGCCGTGAGGTGCGCGAGCTGGCGCGGCGCCTGCGCGACCTGCCTGAGCGCGATCCGTTCCGCGTGCGCGCCTCGGCCGCGCTGCTGGACAAGCTGTATGCTCTCGGCCTGGTGCCCACGCGCGGCTCGCTGGAGCTCTGCAACTTCGTCACGGCCTCGTCCTTCTGCCGCCGCCGCCTGCCTACTGTGCTTCTCAAGCTGCGCATGGCGCAGCACCTCCAGGCTGCCGTGGCCTTCGTGGAGCAAGGCCACGTGCGCGTGGGCCCTGACGTGGTGACTGACCCCGCCTTCCTTGTCACGCGCAGCATGGAGGACTTTGTCACTTGGGTCGACTCCTCCAAGATCAAGCGGCATGTGCTGGAGTACAATGAGGAGCGCGATGATTTCGATCTGGAAGCCTAGCCGGTCTCCGTCTCTCCATGGCTGCTGCTTACAGATGGGAACACTGAGGCCTGATGCTGGAGATTCTGGGAGGGTCGTAGGTTTTTACTAACTTGGTTCTTCAACTGCAGGCTTTGCAACAGAGCCAAGAGAGGTGCGTCCCTATTTCCCAGAAAATGCTCTTGGAACTTGGACTACTGATAATTAAATGACCGTACCTTGGGAAACACGGGGAAGTGTTTTTGTGCTCCCCTGGGTAATTGTTAACTTCTTGTGCCCGAAACATTGTAATGTGAAAGCAAGAACTACTCCCCCGACCCCTACCTCCGTTTCCCTTTATCGTCTTGTAGCAGGACTGGTTCAATTTATTTAACTCGAATTCTTGCTTCTGGCCGTGTACAGATAGAGAGTTTGGGCTCAAGTTTTCGTTAAATGGATGAGACTTCAGTGTTGAGGGCCTCCTCCCTCGTTTAAAGGAATGCTTTCCTAATGCCAATAAATGGCCCAACTGCTTGTAAGTGCAACTTCTCTGTCTGGTTTTCTTACGTAGGGTCATATCTATACATCTCCTTCCAGAACCCAAGAAGATGAATAGGGTCAGGATAGATCTGCCTGTGGGTGAGGTCTGCAACAGGGGCTGCATGTGGAGGATGCAGGATGTTCTACAGGACTGGGCAAATTTGTCACTTTACCAATCCCTTCCTTGGGATGAGTATTTATTTTGGCAGGGCTCTTCCCCACAGGACTTCCTGTTGATATTCTGGCCCCAGGAAATACCATATTAGAGGGCTGAAGTGTTTGCTTGCTTAAGGAAATAATCACCCTGTAGCTTGGCCATCTGGTGGTTAGAAGTGGCCCAGGAGGTTTCTGGAAACTTAGATGTTCTTAGGAGTGGTGGAGAATTAGAATTAGACTACAAAGTTTTACCCAAGATTTCTAAAAAGAGAATAAATAGAATGCTGAAGTCAGAGGATTGGCTTTTTGATGTGCCTTCTCTTCCCTGCTTTTGCCAAAGAAATGATATAGGGAAGATAACATGGGATGATGATGATAGCAAATGCTTCTATATATCAGGTTCAGTTTTAAGTGCTTTACATGTATTAACCCTTTTAGTCTACCCGACCATTGTAAGAAGTGGAGAGATGAAGGAGCTGAGGCAGAGATGGGTCAAATTACCCAAGATTGCATAGCCGCTAAGTGGTGGACTGGGATCATGCTCGCTTTTAACAGACTGTCAATGTCAGCACAACTTGCCCTCTGTAGTGTGCCAAAGCTTAGGGTCTCTGAACTGGAGTTTACAAGCCAGCAGAGAAAAGCAGCAGTACTGGGCAATGCGATTAGTCTTGACAGAATGCTATATAAAGGTTTGAGCAGGGAGAAAACATTGAACTGGGAAGCATTTAGGGAAAAGATATGCAAGGTAAGAGTGGAACTAACATCATAGCCCTGCCTATGCTAAGGTGTCATTTACTCTTCCCAACAACCCTGCAAGGTAGATGATGTTATCCATAACTTTCACTTTGGGAATCAATCAGAACAAGAACTTGTCTGAGGCTGAGGTTCAGGTCTAGACTCATGTGACTCCAAAGGTCATGTTCTTTTCAATGTGATCTCTTTAGAGGTGGCAGGAGAGAGAATCCCACTCCCCAGCTCTGGTGGCTGGGCACAGTCTCAGCTCATTTGGAAATGCATCCTCAGGGCTCCCAGGATTTTAGAACTCAGAGGGAGAGTAAGGTGATTCTGCAAGGTAAGACCCACCCGCCCACCTCCTGTGGCCCTACAGCTCCCACCAGATCCCACAAGGCATGGCAGAGAGATCAGCCCCCTTGGAGTAGTTGGAACCTGTGCCTATGGCCAAGTGGATACAACCTCAAAATTTCTCTTAAAGGAAACTGGGTTTAGGAACTTTGGAGTAAAATGTAAGATTCTTTAGAATAAAGTCTTCTTTCTCCCTTTTTGGAGACAATGTGAAAGAAATGACTTTCCAGGGCTGGGCATAGTGGCTCACATCTGTAATCCAAGCACTTTGGGAGGCTGAGGTGGGAGGATCACTTGAGGCCAGGAGTTCAAGACCAGCCTGAGCAACAGTGAGACCCCTGTCTCTTTTTTTTTTTTTTTTTTTTTTTTTTTTTTTTTTTTTTTTTTTTTTTGAGACAGAGTGTCACTTTGTTGCCCAGGCTAGAGTGAGTGCCATGGCGTCAGCCTAGCTCACAGCAACCTCAAACTCCTGGGCTCAAGCGATCCTCCTGCCTCAGCCTCCCGAGTAGCTGGGACTACAGGCATGCGCCACCATGCCCAGCTAATTTTTTCTATATATATTTTAGTTGGTCAATTAATTTATTTCTATTTTTGGTAGAGACGGGGTCTCGCTCAGGCTGGTTTCGAACTCCTGACCTTGAGCAATCCGCCCGCCTCAGCCTCTCAAAGTGCTAGGATTACAGGCGTGAGCCACCGCGCCCGGCCACCCCTGTCTCTTAAATAGACAAATTAGCGGAGTGTGGTGACAGACATGTAGTCCCAGCTACTAGGGAGGCTGAGGCAGGAGGATCACTGAAGCCCAGGAATTTGAAGTTGCAGTGAGCTATGATAACGCCATGGCACTCTAGCCCAGGAGACAGAGCAAGACCCTGTCACACACACACACACACACACACAAAAGGTTGACACAAAACTGGCTCCCCTGAGAAAGAGGATAGGACAAAAAGCTTAGTGAGCCAAGCATCATTTCTTCCCCAAATCTAATGAGTCAAAGAAAGGTCAGCTTTCCTCAGCCTCTAAAAACCTATTGTGCCATCCTAACTTAGGCCAGCCTCCTTGAAGGGTTCAAGTGTATGGATAATTGGGGAACAAAAGTTTTATAGAACTGTGTGATGCCTTCCAGTGTTTTCTATTTATTTTAAATGTTATTTATTTTTTATATATATATTTTAATTTTATATCTTTAAATTTTTTTATTTTTACTTTGCCGCATTAGTTCAACTCACATTGATACTTAAATGTTATCTTTTTTTTTTTTTTTGAGACAAGAGTCTCACTTTGTTGCCCAGTCTAGAGTGAGTGTGGTGGCATCAGCCTAGCTCACAGCAACCTCAGACTCCTGGCCTCAAGCGATCCTCCTGCCTCAGCCTCCCAAGTAGCTGGGACTATAGGCATGTGCCACCATGCCCGGCTAATTTTTTTCTATATATATTAGTTGGCCAATTTCTCTTTCTATTTATATTAGAGATAGGGTCTCGCTCTTGCTCAGGCTGATTTCGAACTCCTGACCTCGAGCAATCCGCCTGCCTCAGCCCCAAAGAGAGCTAGGATTACAGGCGTGAGCCACCGCGCCTGGCCAAAACCTTTTGTTGAAAGTTGAAAAAGTGCCTGTCAGGACACCTCAGCCTTTTAAACAAACAAATTGGCATTTTAACTTGGAATATTTAAGAAATTACTGTTTCCAGCTGTTGAGTCGGAGCATTGACTCCATCTTCTATTAACTATTTGACCTCAAACAAGCTACCTCCCACCTCAGGGCCTATTTGCTCATCTGGATTGGGGATAATAATGTGGAGATTAAAGGATACACACACACACACACACACACACACACACACTACTTGGCAGTACATTTTAACCCAGAAAATAAAAAATGTTTATCAAAAAGAAAAACAAACCAACCCTTGTGAGATCCATGTTCCTGTGTAAGCATGCTTTGGGAAGTGGGGATCCAATGCTGGGGCTCCAACTCCTTGGCATGGCATCCCAAGGCCTCTTGGATCCTGCCTAACCCCACACCTACACATCCCTCCATCTCCATGGGCCATCTGTGCTTCGTCATCTGGCAGACATCAGCCCTGGCACTGCCTCCCCCTCTGCAAAATTTTTCTTGCTCTGTGCAAGAGGGCATATGCCACCTTTATAGAACAGGTCTTGTGGGTCTGTGACTATGCACCACTCCCAGTGCTACAAGTTCCTCCAGGGCTGGGGGCTAGAGGTCTCACCTGGCTCATCTTGTGGCTTGCAGGGTGACTGGTTCACGTATTCATTCATTCACCTAGTATTTGTGGAGTGCTTGCTATTTGCCCGGTGCTTGACACAGCCGTAAACAAAACAGATGTGGTTCCTGGCCTCTTGTAGCTTATAGTCAAGAAAGCCAGAGACTTTAAGAAATAGAAATTATGATAAATGCTATGAAAGGAAAGAGCAGAGTGGTATGTACACAGGGGATCTGTTGTAGCTGAGAAAGTGACATTTGAATCTGGCAGATTTACTATGCGAAGAGATTCAGAGGTCACAAAAACCGACTGGTGAAAGTGAAATTTAAGACCTGAAGGGTATACAGCCACAATCCTATAAAGAAAAAAAAAAAAAAAAAAGACCTGAAGGGTAAACAAGAATCAGGCAGAAAGGAGGAAGAAACACACACCAGGCAGAAAGGACAAAATGTGCAAGAGCTATGAGGTGGGAAAGATATGTTGTTCTAGAAACTGAGAGAAGGCCAGTGTGGCTGGAACACAGTGCAGAGGGGGTAAACGGCCAAGGTAAATAACCACACATCCTATAGGCCTGGCAAGGACTTAGAGGGTTTTTGTGTGTGTGTTTTGTTTTTTTTGAGACAGAGTCTCACTCTGTTGCCCAGGCTAGAGTGAGTGCCGTGGCATCAGCCTAGCTCACAGCAACCTCAAACTCTTGGGCTCAGGTGATCCTCCTGCCTCAGCCTCCCAAGTAGCTGGAACTACAGGCATGGGCCACCATGCCCGGCTAATTTTTTGTATATATATATATTTTAGTTGGTCAATTAGTTTCTTTCTATTTTTACTAGAGACGGTCTCGCTCAGGATGGTTTCGAACTCCTGACCTTGAGCAATCTTCCTGCCTGGGCCTCCCAGAGTGCTAGGATTACAGGCGTGAGCCACTGTGCCCGGCCAAGAACTTAGAGTTTTATTCTCATTGCACAGTACTGGCACTCAGGGGTTTTAAGTGTCAGAGTGACTCAACAAGACTAATATGCTTCAAGGACCACCTCTACTATCAGGTGCAGACAGTTTGATATAGATTTGCCTGCCTGGCTATGTGGGGCACAATGAAAAGGCACAATGAGTCTCCCAGGGGAGGCATGCTGGCTTGGATCAGGTGGTGGGGTAGAGAAAGGTGGTGGTAGAGATGGTGGTCTGTTTGGTGGCTATAGTGGATGCTCTTGGTAACCCAGCCAAATCCACTTTACCTGTGCAGGATGCTATGAGTTTGGGCTGCCCCTTTCCCTAGAAAACTGCCTCCACCAGCTGGAGCCTCCTCAACCAAGAGATTACACGCCTCACACCGCCCCACTAGCGCTCAGACACTGGCTGACCGCGGGAGCAGCAAAAGGCCCAGTCCCTGGCCCCAAAGCAGAGCCACCCTGTGACACAGAGGGTGTGGTGCACAGCTTAGACCTTACCTGAGACCACATTCTTGCTCTGTTGTTTCCTCTTTCCTATCCTGCTTCCACTGCCCCTCTGGATGGTTTTTTTTTTTGTTTGTTTGTTTTTTTTTTGAGACAGAG